ATAAAATTTTAAAAACAAAAGCTGAATCTTTACTTTTGGCTAAAGCTATGAAGCCTAGGAAATGCAGAGAGGACCATCCAAGACCACCCATTTTTCAGAATTCCTTAAAGCCTTCAGAGAGCAGAATAGTTAATAAAACACATGAAGCTTGTTTCAAAAGCATATTTTATGTTGATATCAATGTGTCCACCAAAGGATAAATTTGCATAACAGTTTAGGTAGATGTTACAAGAGACAGTATAAAATACTTATAGTCTCAGAGTGCTGAGATAGTCTTATATATCACATTTGTGTTGTTACATTTGTTTATCTCCTTTTTTAAATAATTCTTCATTTAAGCTTTGATAGCCAACCTCTAATTCAAATCTTTTTTTTTTTTTGTGAAGTTCCATTGCTCTCAAGAGCACTGCTCAGGCATGAGAAAGCACACAACTTTTTATCTAATTTTGAAAACTACCTTGTGAGCTTTCAGAGTCAGAGTCTCGGGACAGTTTATGCTCAAGTATTAGATGTTATTGGAACTTGTATACTCAGGGTCTCTCTCCAAAAGGCTTTTCCTAATCCTCATTTCAGATATCACTCCCTACAAGGAGGAAACCATAGGTGTGGCATTGGAAATACTGTTTTACAGCAAACCAGAAATGAAAGTTTAATTTCCATCTACAAATATATAAAATTGTTACCAAAATAACTGTGACCTAGCAGTAGTGTTTAAGCTGTAAAATGTGTTTTGTGGCCTGTTGAACACTTCTGAAAGTAAATAAGTGCTTGTTTTTCATAACAAAATGAGTGGTTTGCTACAGTTTGATGACTCAGGACAAAATAACGGATCTTGGAATCTCTCAGTGTCCTGTGTTGCCAGTGTAAATCTGGCCAAGATGCATAATGGCTCAAAGCTCTTGCAAAATTAGTGTCTGCTCAATGCCTTACATAAAATATATATTGCCTGAGGAGAGACAGCCAAGTCACAAATCTTACCACTGTCATTGGCATCCACACTGGCGATCTCAGAAGAAATCAGCTTTCTTAATGTCATGAAAAATGAGGCGATGTCTCTAGGTCAGGACTTAGATACAGATTGTTATTGAAAGCTTGAAGGGCTCTTGCATTTCCATTTGGAGCAGCTGAGGGGGAAATGAACTTTTAAGATGGAACTTGATCAGTTCATGAAAACAACTATATGATACAAGTGCATGTCACAGCAGAAAAGCTGATGTAGTGACACAGCAAATAGCTCTGCAGTTACGATCCTCAGTGTTATTCCTATTCTGTGGGTAAAAAAAAAAAAAGAACAAAATCATTAGAATAGTCGAGGTAGCACCTTTTTATAAGCTGAACTTCACAGTTATTTTTGCAGTAGTGATGCCTTTACTATAAGGGTATAGAATGTGAGAAGGCAAATAATATTCATTCAGTTCAGTCAGTCAAACCGGCACTTCCACACAACCTTCTATGCAAACTGCTAAGGGCACTTTACTATCAAATAGAATAAAAGCCAAAAATAAGTTTAAATGCCAAGTCAAACAAGTACATCCTGCCAAAGACTCAAAATCATATGAATAAGGACTGAGGAGTTCAGCAGATTTGGAACACAATGCTTTAAGTAAGTCTTAGTCTCCAAATATACCTGTCAATATGGAGAAGAGATAATAAATTATCATAGCAGGATTGAGAAGCACGTGCCAGAATGCAAGGAATACAATGGCTCTGGACTGTCCCTGCACAGAGAAAGTTCATCTGTAATGCTTATTTGTTTTTTCTGGGTGCAGGGACAACTGCAGTGGTTAGGTTGATTGCAGCAGGCACTACCTGACTGCTGGTTTCTTGCAGTGTCTTCTTCTTTTCTTCTAAAGTCTGAAGAAAAGTGTTTGAAACCCTCAGAATCAGAGATATGATGGAAGTACAAAACCAAACGCATTTTTCAAAATGCTTAACCACATTCAATTCTTGTTCAGAGAAATTCAAGAGAAGCAGAGACACACCTTGCTGTTTTGGTTTCAGCAGTTTCATGTGGATGAAGGTCTGAGGGAAGGTGTACTTAAGCAGGTCAGCCTGAGTCATTCAGGTAGTTTTAGAAAATATTGCTCTAATACCACAGGATGGAACAACTGCATCCCAGAGTGACCTGGATTTGCAGTTGTCATTGAAGCTAAGAATTTTCTAAATGTTTAGAAGAAAAGATAAACTAAAACTGCTTACTAAAAATGAAGCCCATGAATGCTCCTTGTTACAAAGGTCAATTCAGGGTAGGGTAAGATTCTTCTTACTGTGTTCTGAAATCCACACTACGGACAAAGTTGAGAACTACCTAGCAAGACAATAACACACCCAGCTACTGCTGCGGCAGAAAGCTGGATGCATTTCAGAGTTAGGATACTTTGAAATATGTCCTGTTGAGGAAGGAGCAAAGCTTTGCGTTCTTAGACTGCAGGACATATTCCACACACACACTGTTGTTTTTTTTTTTAATGAAGAATAATAGAAGTTCTGTAAATGCAAACTTTCTTTTGCACAGAAGCAACCTAAAATGGAGACAACATATGTGGTTTTAATTTCCAACCCAAACAATCCAGAGATACTCCTCGGAAGAAATATACCGTCTCAAGGGCAGTGTATATTTTGATTGCTTCGTTTTCTGAAACTCACAGTTAAGCTAAGGTATATGATAAACTGAGAGAGAAAAGTTTAATGATGAACCCACAGAAGTCAATAAAAGTTTTCCTGTTGACTGCACTAGAAGTAGATCCAGTGCATGTAGCATTCAGGAATTGAACAAATGGGTCCTAAAAGCTCAGTTTGGCTGCTTAAAAGATCAAGCAAAAAAAGGAATGAAGTCACATAAGCTGTTTCTGTGTGTAAAAAGGCTGTGGGTTACAGGATTAATTTTTTATAGTATATCTCTATACCCTGCATATCCAAGTAAGCCTTAACTTGTGGAATCTTAATAGCCATCTCATTGCTGAAGTCTAAAGGAAACCCAGAGGAAACTTAATAATATTAAAAGTTATTTTAAAGGGAGTTCACATTGGTTTGAAGGATATTTTGCTTCGCACACAATATCCACCATTGTAAATTCAGAGAACCTAGATTTAAATTCAGAAAACCTCCACACATCTTTACAGCCCTCAGTATATAAATCTAATAGTATTCTTAAAATGTCCACCAGAAAGGTATTAATCTTTTACAGATAAAATTAAAATTCTGAAAGTCATTGGAACAAAAAATAAAGAAAAATAGTAAAAATATTCCCTGTAGAAATGAGGGGAAACTTGGAACTTTGTGGTAAGAGGCTAGTTTGTCCATGTTGCAATGAATAGAGAATAGTCTGTACAGTTTTTCATATCTGACTTGCAATAGAAGATTGGAACATATAGAAATTAATGTTACTGAGTTATTTAATAGTAACTCAAACATATGAAAAGGAGAATTATAGAAACACAGGACTAAAAAGTCATTTAAAATTAAATCAGAAGCTTCAACAAATATATTTTTCCCTTACAGTCAAAAAAGTAATTATCAAAATTGTTCAGAATATGTTGCCAATTACTCTGCTCCATAACTGCTAACTTTCTCAGTTCTTCTCTTGCCTTTGCTGGGCTCTCTGTCACTGGAAACATCTTAAACCAATTTAAAGTGCTACACCTGAATAAACATGTTGTAAAAGTGTTTATGTATTGAAGTGGGTCAGTTCAAGGTATGGTATTTGGCTGGAACTTCTAATTTCTCTTTTTACTGCAAAAGGGCTGCCAGAAGGAGGAAGTCTGAGCTGAATTAATACATTTGTTACAGTGGAAGTAGAATGGAAACTACTTTAACCACAAATCAAACTGCCTCTTTCATTTACGCCAGTGATAGAGTTTTTCTAAGAAATATAGACTCTGGCGTACAGCCACTGTAAGTTTGTGTTTGAAAAGGAAACCTATATGCTTATTTCTATAAGGTTTACTCCTATGCTTATTCACAAGTTCTTTTTCAGGATGAATGAGTTGATGGTATTATATGTTTGTGAGGCAGATGCTCCTTTGTTGCCCACGTCGCAAACTTTTCCAGTCAGCTTAGAAGAATCCCCAGGCGTCCCGATGCCGCGCAGCACACACGGTGCCTGTGCCCATACCTCCCCGTTTAAAGGACCTCTGTGTCCCCCACCCAGCACAGCTGCACAGCTTCACATGACACTGTCTCATTTTCTGACGGTTGAAGGGCTCTGCATAATACACGTATGCACAAAAGTGTTTATGCTGCCAAAATAAATTCTGTTAAGAGCAAGGGTTTATTTGCTAAAATGTCACTGATGCAGTTTCAGTGACTTGTTTTGCTTTCTTTTCTTTTAGCGAGGTTTAGATCCTATAATATAGTGAGGTTACCACACAGTCTTGACTGAACAAATATTCTAAAGAAATATGCACATCCCCTGGGAAAAGAACCAGAGTCCGTAACGTACATATTTCAAACTCTGCTCTCTTGAACAACTGAATGCGTTCCTACCTTTGGTAGTGAATGAACAGTTTGAGTAACACTGCACAATATTTATTTTTAAAGCAGAAGTATATTTATTATCTACACTTCTGTTTGCTACTGATTTGCTTTGGGGATATAAGGTTTCACATCTCACTCTCAAGTGATGCAAAAATGAGAAGACCGCATTATATTATCCTTTCTATATCCTATAGACTTTAATGGGGATCATTTATTTTCCATTCCTATAGAAGTATACATGAGGCTGAATTAAAATACATTTGTAATGAATAAGGTATATGGTGTACAGAGACCACAATTTTATGCAATGACAAACTACCTGTAAAGCTGTTGAAACTTTTGTAAATTGCTGAATTTTTTCTTTCAAGTTCTGTTCAACAAAATGTGGTTAGGATTCTTAATCATGTAAATTCAGGATTATGGGCAAAATTCTTGCCATGCTTCAGTCACCAGTTGAACTCCCATTGTGGCTTTAGGAGAGGCAGAAGTCTATCTTTTAACTTACCATTTCCATTACTTTATAGGTCGAAGTATCAATGTTAAATCTGCTGGCCTGATTGGAAGACATGGGCCTCAGTCAAAGCAACCCTTCATGGTTGCGTTCTTCAAGGCAAGTGAAGTGCTTTTCCGTTCCGTCCGAGCAGCCAACAACAAAAGGAAAAATCAGAACCGCAACAAATCCAGTAGTCATCAGGAGTCTTCTAGGATGCCAAGTGTTGGGGGTAAGATGAAGCTGTGATTTACTAGCCTGTTTATAGGAGTTATGGGCACCTGCTCAACTGCAATGGAGTCACAGGAGCTCAACAAGATATTGTTCATTGGCTGATGTCAGAAACTATGTTCTCACTTAATTTCTACCTGCCTCTCTAGCTTTGCTTAAGCCTCTTTTGTTATGTTGGCCCCGAGCATGATCTATTTTCTGTGAACCAGGTCATTTGCATGCATCATGGGCTCCTGGAAGGTGAAATGACCATGTAGTTTGAAAATGTCGTATCTGAGCTTGAAACTAGTCCTTGAGACATAGTAGGCATCTGGATGAGATCTTTGGTACACATAACAAAAAAGTAGGGAGAGTAGAGAGAAGCGTTGCACCCCAACTGCTTGTCTAGGAAGCCTCAGCAAAAGATGGTGTTTGGATTCTTGTCTAACTGCCTCTCAGTTGAAGAAGCCAAGACGTAACACAGAAATATGAATAATGGAAATGAGGAAGGTTAACCAACCTGTGAAAGTGTAAACTGTTTAGGAGTTCAGACCAGCTGACATGTACTGATGTAAATACACATATTATCCCTGAACAAAGTGAATTTGATCCCATATTTAACTGAAAGGTACTGAAAATAATGCATGTAAAACTGTTGTTAGTCCTACTAGAGTCTGGAGTAAGTTTTACTCCAGTTTTTTCCTGAAATGCTTCTTTCAGCTGGAGGCACAGGGTCACTTTCTAAATATTTTCACTTTTGAACAAATGATTCTACTTTTCAGGGGCAGGGTCTGAAAATTTATCTTTCAAAAAGCATGGCAGATCTAGTACCAGCATATCAAACCCTCAATATAGATGTTATTCTTAAGCCCCATGGATGTCTACAAGTAAACAAATTAGTATTTAGTGGAAAGAATTCAGTGCTGGAGTAGAACTCATCTGTTTGAGGAGACTGTTATGAGCATTATGCATTACTTGTATCTGTCTCAGAACCTTCACAGTGGCAGATTAGAGACCCCTCTAATATAATGCGTAAGCTTTTCTCTCACCTTCTGCACAAGGGTGAATTTTGCCTTAACAATCACAAACTCCTATTGAGTTGCTAAAGAAACCACAGAAATTATTTTAATAACATACTTTTCTAAACTTATTTGAAGTTTAGCTGGTGATTTACTGGAATAAAATTCCACTTTAAGGTTAAAAATTAATATTAAAACATACTTGAAAAAAAAGTTATTAACCCACAGCAATAGTTGTTACTGCTTTAGTAGTGGCCTCAATTTTATTCCTGTATGATGTACAGGTAGAAAAAATACTGTGCTATTTCTCAGGTTTCCTTTGAAGACCTGGAGCATAGTTCTTTCTAAGGTAGATGCACATGTTCCCTCTGAGAACACCAGTTTTTGGAAAGCCCTTGACGTTTGTTAAGGTACCAGGGATCTCCGTTTACAACTGGTTTTTGCTTCAGTTGTTGTTTAGCATTATTAGCATGTAGTATTATAAATTTTTCTGATATTCTGTATGACCATACAACAAAAGCTCATCTGCATAATTAACTTCTAACCCCTTAATAGTCAATATTACAAAGGAGCAGTTACAAATAAATAATGAAAGAGGTCCAAAACTAAACAATTTTAGCTTTTTATTAATAAAAAAAAAGAAATCAAATTATCTATAACAGAACAGCATTTTTTAAATTATTCATTATTGATAAAGTTTTATCGACTAAACACTCTCTCTTCATTAACTGCTTAAAGATCTTCAGAGGCTTTTTGAAACAATGTAAGTTAAAAATTGACAGGATCTTGTAATTCAGATGTGGTTTAAGCATGCACATCAGTTAACCTTGCTATCTGGTGCTTGCTGTAAATTCATTTACCTCAGCAGATTCATTGAATCTGCATTTTGTGTACTTCTATGATCAGCTTTTCTTTCTGCAGAAGCTGTTCTTTCTATTTTATTGGTATTCTATGATGCACTTCCCTATTTTCATACAGAGCTTTGGACTGAATGACAGAACATGAGCATTTTCTTGTGGTTTGGGGGGTGGTGTGTTGTCCAGGGTTTTTTTGCTTCTCTTTCAAATATGATATCTGCAACTGTACCAACTCCAAAACACAATCTCTTACCTCAGGGGTAAGTCATATTTTCTCTACGCCAAAAATATTAAAAATATATTTTTCATATTTCCTGGAAAATGTCTACTAATGTTGAGAATTACATTAGTTTCGGGGAAGGGAAAATCATTTAAGTACAAGGTACACCCAAGATACCTAAATATAAATGTCATACTTTCAGATTGAATCCTATGTTTCTAGTCCATGAGGAGATGAGAATTGAACAGATTTGTTAGGCTTCCTTGATTACAGCAGGAAAGCTGAACACAGACTCCCTGCTGGCTTAACCTGGGAAAAACTCAACCTTAACACATGTCAACAAGTTGCATCGGCATGAGAATTACCTCAGAAAGGGTTGTCTGTGTGTCTAAAAAAACACCGGTCAGACTCATTTGTGCATCCACTTGTGCTCCAGAGCTGTTGTAAAACAAGAAAAATCAGAACATCTCTAGTAAAATGGGCATTATGAAACAAAATTTCTCCTGACCTCTTTAAGCCCCCAGTCTGGAGAGACGTAGAGGTACATCGCTATATATGTCAATCCATGCCAGAACTGTCAAAAAAATTGCAGTGCAAGAAAACAGAAGAAGTCAAAACAAAATTAGGTTAAGAAGCAATTGCACGTGCAGTTGCATCAAAGGCAGTGGCACTGGCCTCCGACTGGAGATGGAGTCAGCAAGATGTGGGCAGGCTGGAAGAGGTGTCAAAGATAAAGGCAAATAAGTAACCACAACTTTACACCACAAAATCCTCTGTAGCAAAACTGCTTGGAGGGGTCGCTCCTGTGAGTCAGCTTCCATGCTCTTGCCTTGCAGTTTGCCTCCACAGTCCTCATATCACAAATAAACAAACTCCTTTTATTTGGGTGCCATTAGTGATCAGTGAATGGACTTTTCACACGCTGTGATTCAAATAGCTTTGTCTTTTAATAAGTATTGCAACAATGCTCATTAACACCTGCAGATGAGCATGCTGGTGGCTACAAAGGCAACGTGCAGATTCTATTATCCAAGTGCTCCAGTGTGCAAAAACGATGTGAAGGAGAGAACACGTTCTTATTTCCCAGATCTTTGCATCTTTGCAGAATACAGTACTTCCACGGGGAGAGCCTGTTATCAGGCAAAAGCTATGCCCTTTTCCTCCTATTCACCAGTCGCAGGAACAGGGGAATATGTTGAATCGCTGCAGGCTTGTGGGAGAAGGCTGATTCTCTTAGCTCTCTACAGTTTCCAGTGACGAGCAGCGCTTTAAAAGTATAGTTCATCTCTTCATATTTAAACCACAGAAAACCCCAAAGAATTCTGCCCATCATCTTCCTCATGGCAGACTGTAAATAAGCCAGATGAATTTCTCATTCACCCCCTCGTGCAAGACACTGTTGACATAAATGACACAGTGATGGGCAAATATAGGTCCTTGTTTCTAAGCTTGTTCCATAACCTGGTAAAAGGTTAAAAGCATGTAAAACAAACACAGTGAAAAATCCTCATCTACATAGCCAGAGGTTATGTACTCAGACCCAGATAGGTATGCTGTCATTTATATGACAGGACACTTTGGTTATATCTTTTCTCTGCGCACCGATCCCAACTTTACTACAGTCATGACTTTCTTTTCTCCTTGGTTTTTTTCTTCTTCCTTTTCTGTTGTTTTTCCTTTTTCTTTTTTTTTTTTCCTTTGCTCTTGCCTTTTGTCATCTTCATTTTGCCTATTAGCTTTTGTCTTTGGCCTTCTTTTCTAAGTTCTTGGACCTCAGTGATTAGCTTTATTGTATTCTCAGCATGTCAAAAAGGAAAGCCCCACTGGGCAACTCAGTTCTTCCCTTCCAAGGGACAACACATTTTTTGAATTATTCATGAAGATATACACAAACACAACATGAAGAAAATAAAATCTATATGTGTCAGTTATTATAACAGCTGGGCAATTGTTGACAGATTTGGGGTCAACATCCCTGTGTTACTAAGAACTTCAAGAGAAGATGACCTCAGTGCAGTGAGAAGGCAGACAGAATTAAACTTAACATTCAGACTCCACCTGCCTGCTATGCACAGAGGATTGTTTATTAGTTACCCATTTGTAATTTGCCAAACTGTAGATAAAAGGAAAAATAATTAAAAAAAAATCAAAAAAGACAACTTGTTTCCAACACATCACATAATTCTTCCTTAAAACAAAGGCTGTCCTAATTTTATTTTTGTTGAACATAATCTAAAAAGAGTTACAGTGTAATTGGGCACCAAAGGACATCCACATTTAAATACTCAATAGTGACACACCAGGAAACTCAAAACCAAAGGTACACAATTTTTGTTCATCATCAGATAAAACCAGAAAACAACAGTTAACTCTGCATTTCCTGTATTTTATTGGTTGGTGTCACACTATAATTAATTAAAAAGAGTAATTTGTGATAATATATATAGGCATGGTTATATGTCTTTATTTTGAAAAAAAAATCCATATTTCTTATAAATATATTTTCTTGCCCTTCTTCTACAGCTCTTTCTGCTACAGAGGTTTTTGGACCCCAACTGTAGTCCCTGAATAGCTGAGGAATAATGTTTTCTTACTCACAATAGCCTACGGTTTTGATTCTTGACAGAATAAGCATATGGGCCTTGAAGCTACAGTATGTGAAACTGAATCCTTGGCACCAGATCTTATTATAAATGTCACATTTCATACTCATATGAAATGTTACATTACACACAACATTCGTCTTATATGAAAGATAGAATTTAAGGAAGGAATACAGATTTGCCCAAGTCTCACTTTCTCTGTAGGTATAGGAGTTAGATGGTTTGCAGATATATGTCTGCATATGAAACGCAGACCATCTTACCAGGTGTTCTGATGTGACCGCTCCTCCACCTAGTTTCAAATAATTCGGAGTACTAAGGCAATGAAGACATCTATGCAATGACTTACATATTTATTACTCAGCCTTTTTCCTTTAACTGTAGAGACTGTAGAGACTGCTACAGTCTGGTTCTAAAACATCTGTACATATCCTTAGTTATGAAAATGTCATGACTGAGAGAAAACTGGCAAAAGCACAACTTTGAGCTTTCATTTTTTTGCCTGCTTGGGTGCTATCTAAAACCAGATTGTTTTTTACAGACTTGCATCCTATATGACTGAATTTTAAATTCTCACTAATAGCTGAAACAGAAAAGCTTAATATTTACCTCCTATGAGCACGGATATTAGTCAAAATCAGTATATAGATCCTTGTGAAGAGTGATCAGTGAGACACAGTTCAATTTTTTTAAAATTAAAGTTACTTTACTTTCCACCACTTTCACCTTACTTCTGATGTGTGTGCAGAACACACTAGAACATACAGACCACAGCACAAAATATGACTAAGGGGTTTTTGTTATATTAATGGCATATAGATTTTAAGGACACATGATGTCTTAGGGTATCCTGCCTTTCTTCCTCCAGTGGCTACTCCAATAAGACAAAAACTCTCATAGGATGTGGGTATATATTTTGACTCTACATGGCCTGAGGCAACTGAGAGTATCTGAGGTGGTACACTGTGGAGAACCTTCAATGACTGTCATTGAGGATCAACCCATGAAGGGCTAGGAAAATGCCACAGGAAAGAAGGTAGTATTCACTTTTTAAATGGAATGAGGATTTGAGGTATTATAGATTAGAAAGTGTAACTTAACATCCCTGGTAGTACTAAACCAAGTTATTTAGTATGCAGATGGATATATCTTGATTTGTGTACAGCTTTTGACACAGTTACAGGGACATATTGGGGTCCAGCTATATTCAACAGAAAGTAGGTACACAGCCAGTTAAAAAAAATAAGAAAAAGCATATTCAAAGTGCATGTTACCAATGAGTAAAACTTGGGTGGGTATTTTGAATGACATGTCAATGAGTCTCTTCTGGATCTGATTCAGTCCAGCATTTTATTGGTAATGTGGATGATTGATCACTCCTCCCAAATCTGGTATGCTCTGTGAACTTGCAGAGAGCATATGACATATTGTTGTTCTATTGTCCAGGTTACTGACACAGACATTAATCAGTATTGGCACCAGTACTGATCCTTCAGGGACATCCCTAGTAACCAGCTGCCAGCTGGACTTTGTACCACGGATCACAACCCTTTGAGCCCAACAGCCCAGCCAAGTTTCCACCCATTATATTCTTTACCTATCCAAACTGTATCTGACCAATTTGGCTCTAAGGATACTGTGGGAGACCATATCAAAAACGTTCCTAAAAGTGAAGCAAACAACAGCCAGTGCTCTTCAAAAGCCCACAGAGTTAGTCAGTTCATCACAGAAAACAATCAGGTTGGTTAGGCACAGTCTGAACTATTAAATCCATGCTCACTGTTCCCAAACACCTTCTAGTTCTTCATGTGCCTGGACACAGATTCTAGGAGAATTAGCTCCACAGACTTCCCAGAAACTGCACAGTTAAACCAATTGTCCTTCTTGAAGATGGGTGTGACATTTTCCATTTTTGAGTAATCAGAAATATCCTTCAGACACGATGAACACTCAAAAATGGCAGGAAGTGACTGCAATGATGTTGGCCAACTCATTCCCCACTCAGAAATCCATCCCTTCTGCTCACATGGATGTGCATCTTCAGTTTGCTCAAGTGGTTCCTAACTCTCTCTCTTTTACTGTGGGCAGAGCTTCAGTCACTAGGCTCAGAACCTGAGACTCCTGAGGGCAAATCTTGCCAGTGAAAAACGAGACAAAGAAGTCTTTGAGTACTTTAACCTGTTCTGAGTCCTTGCCACAAGGTTATCTGCCTTACTGAAAAATAAATCTGTATTTTTCTTAGTTTTTCTTTTTGCTATGAGTGTACCTGTATAAATCCTTCTTGTTGGCCTTCACCTCCCTCACAAGTTTCAACTCTGGCTAAGCTTTGGTTTTCCTAACATCCATCCCTGCATGCTCAGTCAATGGGTGTATATTATTTCTGTACAGCTCATCTCAGTTCCACATTATTTTTACTTCCTATTTGAATTTGAACTCAGTCAAGAGTTTCGTATTCACCCACAGTGGCTTTGTGCCATGCTTGCTTGACCTCCACATGAGAGTGGACTTACCTTGTCGTTCTCTCAGAGGTTGTCCTGTGAGATCAGCCATCTCTCCTTGTCTCCTTTGCCCTTCAGGCCAATCTGCCATGAGATTAAGAAGAAAATCTCAAAAGAAGCTAAAATCTGTTCTCCTGAAGCCCAGGGTTGCAATGCTGTTGTTAATCTTGGTCATCTCTCAGATCCTTTTAACTCCATCGTATCATGGTTGCTGCAGTCTCACCATGCTGCAGTTCTCATCAACATCCTCACCCCCAACCTGCTCTTTATTTGTTGAGTTGCATAATTCTAAAGTGACTAGGCAGGATTATATAAAAAAAGTGATCTGAAACTGATAATTTCACAGTGTGGTTTTTCTGCAAAACTCTGACTCTGGGTTATACTGCTAGAAAAAAATCCAGAAATCATATGAAATAATTATTTTACTTTAGTTAACACTGTGTTCAATTTTGGTCATGACATCTTCAGAAAGACATAGAGATTTTGGGTTTTTTTCAGTGTCTTCCTTCCTTAGTTTGTTGGTTGGTTGGTTTTGTTATTGTTGTGAATTTCAGTCTTTTTTTTTTTTTTTTTTTCTCCTGCCAGAATTATTATTTTGGTCAAAAAAAGCCACGTTAGAGATTCTTGAAATGGAAGCAGAGGAGACAGCCTGTTCTCCCTGCTCCATCACATGCCTCACTGATGGCATCACTTGAATAGCACTATAAACCAACTCTGGGGTGCTAATGTGGTGGAGGCATGACCCTACTCCCTTCCTCTCCAGTTACTCAGGGGCAATAAGGAACAAGTAGTAGATTTTCTCCAGGAGTCAGATTGTCCTGGAGAGACATGTATGGAAGGTTCTATGTGTGTTTCTGTCCTGACATATCTCTAACAGTGCAGAAACATTCAGGCCTTTAAAATCATGTGTTAATCTGTGTGTTCACATTACGATTACCAACTGAAGATCATCAGGTGGTGACTATTTCCAAGAAATACGGTAAAACATGGAGTACAAAATGTACGAATGTTTAAATGACAGATTTTGGAAATTACGTTGTTTCAGGACAATTTTTATAATGTTAATTTATTTTTTGAATTAGGCTACTTTCTTTACTTGGCAATTAAACCTATTCCAACATATGAATGACTTCCCCCCATCTTGGATCAGGATCTTAGTTGTCCTTTGATTACCTGTGTGCATATTATCAGAGTTGTTACCTAGCTAGCCAGCAAATAGATATCTTGTAAACCTGTTTCACCAAAGGTTGTACACATTGTTTTGTCTGTACACACATTGCATCAAGTTGACATTGCTGATTCTGCATTTTCAATTTTTCGCTACATTTATGACCAAACCTAGGAATATAAATTACAGTATGCTTCTTCCTTTCCTTCATATGCTTTAATCATGTGCTCAAAAATAGCTGAATCTTGTTGGTTCTAGCAATCCTTCTAACCAATTTATTGTTATTACTTTCTTCCTGTAGATTATAACACAAGCGAGCAAAAGCAAGCATGTAAGAAACATGAACTTTACGTGAGCTTCCGAGACTTAGGATGGCAGGTATGATTATACATACTGTTTCCTATCAGTTCAAATTGGGACAGTCTACTTTACAGTCCTGTACTATTTACAGTTGTTTTCTTCATGGTAATTTGTATTTCACTGATGAAAGACAAATTCTTCAAATGCATTTTGTAATGAATCCCTATCACTGTAACTTTACCTTTTTTGGTTGCTGTTCTCTCAAAGGTTTTGCATATATGAACAGCTTTACGATCTGGATTCATTCACATAAAGATAAATCTGAACTATTACTCAAGATATTAATAGATCTGCAATAAATGAAACCAAAAACCCCACAATGAGAAATGGAAGTTTTGAAATTTGCACTTGAATTCTCCCTGGTTCAGTGCTGCCTACTGCAGGTCAGAGATTTCACTGGGGTAGGGTTCATAGGGAACTAGATCTTGGATCACTGCTCAGTGGTCTTTATAAAACCATAGCTAAGTTTATGTAATTTCTGTGAAAAACTCATCCAGCTGTACATTAACAAAAAGTGTAAAAGGCCAGGCTGGATGGGCAACCTGGTCTAGTGGAAGGTGTCCCTGCCCATGGCAGGGGGGTTGGAACTAGATGATCTTTAAGGTCATTGAACCATTAAACCATTCTGTGTTTCTATGAAAAAAAGAAGGCACTTGTAGTAAAAGGTCATAATGACAGGTGCAGGGCATTATAAGAAAAGAAAATAGAGATCAATCTAGGTTTTTTTTCCAGAAAGCAAGGAGGTCTGTTTAAAGAAAGAACAAGAAAGCCATCACCAACATATAGACTAGACATATTGCATATGTAAGTAAGATCTCAGAGATGGCTGTGTATGTATTTCACGTTTTTCTGAATTATTTCAAGATAATTCTCCACGAGCAGAATGAGTCTATGAAAAGAAAAAGTGTGCTATCTCTTTAGTGACAGCTCATCCTTTATATATCTAGCTCAGATTCTCATATGACCTCAGTACTCTGCCTGATATTTTGTAGTATATTTACCCTCAAAGTAGTCTGAAGAAGTAGGCAGTGACCGTTTCCCCAAATCTGCAGAGCATAATCACCCTGTCCGTGGCCACAGAGCAGGATTGTGGTATTGACTTGAACTCAGGCTACTGAACAAGTGAGCCATTGTCTCTCTCTAGACTACAGATTTTTCCAAGTATCAACATTTTTCTCATTTTTTGAAACAGTAAATTCTGATATGCCCCAATATGTGCAAGGCTCTCAGGTCAGTCATTCAGGGTGGCCATAGAGAAAAGAAAATCTATTTTTTTCACAAAAAATACTAAACAAATTCAAAGTTTTAGTTGGAAAACCAAAGCTACACTGTACAATATTTGAACAGTGAAACTCAGAGTGAAATGAGATAAAAAGAAACAAAACCCAAGAATTAGGTACTTCATCCTCTCTGCCCTTCCCACATCACCTCCATTACCTTTGCATGGCAAAGGAGGAATTCAGTAAAGTACACACATAACTTTCATTAACATTTTAAAATATTTTCCCTCTTGTGGTCTTTTCCCCATGCTGTGTTGCTAGAAATACCCAAAATGCATGATTCAGTGACATTACAATGGGTAATCTCTAGCAACCCTCAGTCTCACAAAATAATACAATCAATGGTATTTAGTATGCTGCAGAAAGAGGATGCGTTGTAATTACTTGTGTTGCATCAGGAAGTGCTCAAGATTTTTGTCTGGGAAGAAAAGTATTCTGACAAACATATTTGGAACTTTAATTCCCCTTATAGACTCATTAGTTGGTATTCAATGCAGATTTCTAAGTTTAATTTAATTTTCATCTGAGTTTTATATGAACAAAGCAAATACTACTCTTTTTTTTTTTGGCAAAAAAGGTAATTTAACATGTCACATTCTGAAGCTCGTTTTTCTCTTGGACAAGTCGTAGTTAGTTTGAGATAGTTTTAAATTCTCTGAGTAAGAAAAAAAAGAATTGAGTGGATTTATTTGTTCTTATTTTAGGATTGGATTATTGCACCAGAGGGCTACGCTGCATTTTACTGCGACGGAGAGTGCTCTTTCCCCCTCAATGCCCACATGAACGCAACAAACCACGCCATTGTTCAGACGCTGGTATGCCTCTGCCTATGTTGTAGTTGCCTATTTTGCAGTTGTGTCTTGGCACAGGAGCTCTCTCTTCCTCTCTATTTTCTACTATTGGATTTTGATTATTTCTGTGTAAATGATAACCCATTTTGAAGATGTGCTTTGAGGATTAAGCTAGAGAGAGGATGAACGGCCCAGAGTGGCCTGGGTGGTAGGTTTCTCTTCCATTTCAACTACAGTAACACATGAGAAAACTGTGTCATATTACTGGAGAACTGTGTAGGCAGGAATCAAAGGGGCCCCCTGGTCCCAATTCCAAGGTTTTTTGCAGTTTATTGAAGCTCCATGTTAACATCTATATGCTATACCTTCCAGAAATGTTGACACTTGGCCACTCTGTGGACCTCTGTTGTCAACTGTTGGCAGACATACTGAAACAGTAATTTAATGTGAGGCTTTGCAAACACATGCATTTGCATGTAAGAAATTGTCTTCAGTTATGCCTGGCTAACAAATGCAATTTATAAATAAGTGTGTTTGGATTCGTTGCTCTGCCTGGTACATGTAAAACAGGATTTGCAGCCAGCTTTCTGCCTCTGCTAGTTCTCATGCTAGTCTTGTGCACCAACTGGAGCAGCCAAAAAGATGATCTTAGTTGAAACAGCTGGCTAAGCCTCCTCTACCCCAGCAGAATTCAGCTATGGTTTGGGAAACATAGCACCTACAGAAATCAAGACTTTATACTGTGTCTAAATGTAATGCTGTGAGTCTGATGTCTGGTCATGATTTTTCACGTTGCCAGCTGAAGAACTGGCTCTGAACATCACCAGTATTAGCAGAATGATTAAGAAGCAGAGGAATGAGAAATTTTTATTTCTTTCTGATAGAAAACAAATTCTGCTTGTGAAAATTGCCAAGTATTTCTACGAGAGACATTTTTAAAACCTCAGCATGTGCTGAAACCTTTTCTTTTCCATTCAACTCTACATTTATGTGCTTTCTCCAAGTCTAGCCACCAATGCAACACTATTCCTCTATACCAGAATTTGAGTCAGCAATAATTACAAAAAGAAGGGAAAATGTCAGAGGCTGGAAATAAATAGAAGTGTGGTAAGGGGTTCAGGTGAGAGGGAACAGAAAATGCTGGTTGGCAAGGAATGTAACAATGTGCCTAGAAGATGATGAAGAACAGCATATATGCAGTCCTGAGCTGAAAAGAACTAGGTCAGCAGAGCAATAGATTAGCATTATGCAAACATTGTCCAGAAAATTTGCCAGTATCAGTGAGATCCCCAGGTTAAAGTTCTCTCCTGCAATTATGGACTGTTAAATAAGAAGTGGCCCAGCACTACATTCTCTTACGCGTTCATTCGTTCCAAAAACACTTAATTTCCAATTGTTAAGATATTTGTGTAGTTTGTCCTAATTTTTAAGTTGGATACTTAAATTTTCCCTCTTTTTATGGCCTTTTTGGAATTGTGTGTCTCCCTCTGCATGCATTGTACATGCATTCAGTCGTGCAGCCAGAAAATCATGAGGCTAATTAAATTTTAACTGCACATAAATTAGATGAGATAACAGTAGTTGAATGCTTTCTGCTTTAAATTGTACAAAATTCAGATTTACACAAGGTGTGCACATGGGGATGACTTGGGAAACAATTATTCATGCACCCCACCCTAATCCAAATGTAATCATCTCCCAGCCATACTGATTACACCATTCTAAAAAAGACCACTTTTTGGGTTGGGAGTGATTGTTCCTTGGTACCCCTCCAAACTTTACTGACTCATTCTTTTCTTTCCTTTTGTAACAAGAATAGGAGAAATGCTGGGCCAGTACCTCTCTCTCTTTTCTTTTTCTGAGACTGAACTTAGGCAGACAGATGATACAGATGCATATAAATACAAGGAAGACTGCATTTAATGAATTATATACGCTTTCTTCTCCTCTCCCTCTTCCCATCGCCCTCTGAACGGGCATTGGAGTAATATTGACGGGTCATGCAAATCAGTGAATCAGCAGGTTGACCCCCACTGAGTTCCAGGCCCACTCTTGGAAAGGCTGTGAGCACCAATGTCATGTAAGGCTAGCAGGGCCATGGAGCTCCCAGCTGGGGTGGCAGGGGCTGGTGGGACCAGGAGTTATGACAGGGCAAACATGTGCCTAGACAAGGCACAAATATTCTTTTCTCCAGTGCTTTGGTATTCGTTTGTTAAACTGTTTTTAAATGTGTGTCTAAACCCTTACTAAACTGCTACTTCAGGATTTATTATTGCTCATTTCAAAAGACTTTCTCATGGTAACAGTTATGTAAAAATCGTTTCCTGATAGACTGTTCTCTGTTGTCTGGCAAAGGCTCTGGGCTTATATCACTGCAAGACAGATGTCTCTAACAGATTTACAAAGACTTAACATACAAATGAAACCTATTACTGCTGAAGTCTTCATCCATGCCTTAATAATCTCTTGCCCTCTCTATTACAACTCCCTCTTTTCTGGCCTCCCCAGTTTCCAAGTCTTCAGCATGTGTAGGATATTACATCCAACCTTCCTTCAAGTACAAACAACTTGTATTTCCCCCATTTTTAGATATTTCCACTAGATCTTGTTCATTCTGGGATTTTTCCCTTCTCTTTAACCTGTCATTGATATATTTCAGCCTAGTGAATATAAAGCCTCTCTGCATCAGCCCTTACCCCAGACCTTCTGTCCAGCTGGCACCCACCTTATGAGTTGATTTTTACTTCAGTGGAAGTAGAATTGGATCCACAAGTACCTAGATAAGACCTTAAATTACACTCATGTTGCCTGAGAGCCCACATCTTACCATTTCATAGCCTGAGAACCGTTTGCCTTTGCTTGCATAGTCTTTGCTGTCTGCAGCAGACTTGCCTCCACGCTGAGGCCCTGACACAGGAAAGCATTTTAGCACATGCTGGGGTCCCGGTGAGACCCGGGACTTGAGCCTCTGCTTCATGTCAAACACTGTCCTCAGCAGAGATGGTACTGAAAATACGTTTGAGTGTTTCCCTAGGAAGCCACCTAACTCCAACCCTTTTCTAAATTTCATCTGAAAATCAACTTTCTATCTTGTCTGCCCCTCCTCCTTTCTCTCTCCATCTGATGTTATTGTGTAAGTCTGCTCGCGCGGTTGAAATCAGAGCATTCTGGAGGTAAACTGTGCTTTCAAGTTGCTAACCGAGGAAAATCTGCGACCACAGCCCTCTCTGAATTGCAGAGACATGTTTTTCTCTGACGTTGTCCTTGTACCTCCCTGTTTGATATATGAACTGTGTATTTATCTGTCTTCCAGGTTCACTTGATGTTTCCTGATCATGTACCAAAGCCATGCTGTGCACCAACAAAACTGAATGCAATCTCCGTGCTCTACTTTGATGACAGTTCCAATGTTATTTTAAAAAAATACAGGAATATGGTGGTGCGTTCATGTGGCTGCCACTAGAATAAAAAAAAGAAAAATAATCTAAAGCAGAGGGTTTTATTCAGAATTGTAATAAAGTCAAGATATGAGTCTTGCTGATGAAAAGGCAGTCCTAAATTTATTCCATTTCATGTCATCTCTCATTTAAATGTACAGTATAATGTATATAGTAGCTTTTATTTATTTAAAAGTATATAGTTTCTTTTGTATGAGCAAAATTCAGAACCATTTATCTTATGGGTCACCTCACTACGCAGTAGAACTTCACAAACTAATTTTTCAATTGACCATACTGGAATCTATTTCATTCCATTTCAATATTTTAAAGTAAAGCCTTTGTATAGATTTTTTTTAAAACTAGAAACTCCAGAACTTCTGTAACTGCTTTGTATTGTTAAAGGAACTAAAATACATTTGGTCATATTGTGCCAATGAAAACTGTGGCAGGGTATTTATTTAGAAAAAGGCACAGAAAAGAACTAAACAAAACTGCTTGGCTAAACATTTTTTCTTTTAGAAGTTCTGCTCCATTAGGAAAAGTGAAATGTTGAACGGTGCTTAAATAAATAAATAGTAGATAGAAAATAGAAGTGAAAAGATTGCACATAATTGTTATAACTATTTTCTTTAACAAGATGAGTGTAACTGGAGGAGTTGGCGTCTTGGCTTGTAGGCTGCAGAGTTTGCAAAAGGCTAAAAGCTTCGGGAATTCTGTGGAGACAGACTCTCGCATCTATCTATGACTTTCCAAGTTAACACTAAAAATTGAACTACAACAACATTCTTACCTCAAATCACATTGGTCTATTATCTGTTATACTTCTCTGGCAAATATTTTTATAATAGCAGCACAAGGTAAAGTCAAAAAAACTCACACAAGATTTCCTATTATATATGCAATCCACTATATCTACAAAATAGATCTACAAGGCAGGGGATGGAAGGGCTTTTCTTTATTTAGCTCCCATTTTTGGATGTGTTTACTGAGTGTGCGAGGGAAGGCACAGGGGATGCAGCAGTTGTCACCTGTCTAATCAAAAATCTTGTCCCATCAGGGGATGGTGGCTGTTTTCAGGCAAAGATGAAAAACACTTTCCATAAAAGGCCATTGAGTAATTTGCAGCCTACTTTCAGTCCCATCTCCTTTTCTACCAGATGGAGATTGGTTTAAATCATGAGGTCTAAGATGGGATATAATTTTTTTTTTTTTTTAGCGTTAATTATTGTGCCTTTGAAAATTCTCAAGTCTGTATAAATAATTTTTTATCTTCCTAAATTTTTGGCCTCAAATGAAATCCTCTGGTTGTGAATTGCACAACTAATTGCAGATTATCATTCCCACCACCACCACTACCCATATGCATATTTTGAATTAACCACGTCTTTGGACACACCTTTTTTTTTTTTTTTACTGTTATCAAAATTAGAAAATATAATCTCTGTTTTCTCTTTATTACACAGCTAATTACAACATATGCTTTTATCATGAATTACCTTGATTAAAAATGCTTCATTTATACAGTTCTCAGAGGGGCACATCAGTTCCTCCTTAAACAGTCTATCCATGTAAACTCTGAATCCTCTGGTTATTTAAAGCTTATTTCAGAAAACTCAGATTATTACAGACCGATAAAATCAGCGTGTGTGTGTGACTGTGTGGATGTATGTCAATGTGCAACTGTCTCTTCTGTAGAAACTAATTTATTTTATCTTGCTATTAGAGTAATACACAGGTCCTCTTAATGCATGGAAAAAAAAAAGAAAAAAATAGCAGTTCTGACCAGTCTTGGGAGCTCTCTCCCCTTAATACAACAGTTCCATTTTACACTTTCATCTCTGTTTTATACTGACATTACCTACATACCTATGTTTATCTGCAGTTCATGCATAAGGGTGTATATCAAAATATAATGTCTCCAAGTGAATTACCATTTTGGAACAGTTAAAATCCTGGGTTGTCTTCAAAAAAAATTACAGATTTCTGTATAAATTGGGTAGGTGGATATGCTTCTTTGAACTCAATTTATTCTAAATGGAATTTGTTGGAAGCTAAATTTTGGGTACATTAAGTAATATATTTTTAAATAATGGTGTACCATTTTGAGAATAAGAAACTGAAGATTATTGTTATATTATTCTTTAAAATATGCTGTTGGAATATAATTCTATATTTTGAGACATAATAAACCTGTAATATTATTCTTTTCTGGTGTGATTTTGCTTTTGAGACAGATGACATTCTTTTAAAGGTAAAAGCAAGAAATCGCCAATAATTATGAATAGCTTCCATTGCAGTTAATTTTTTAGTGCAGACATTTTGCAAAATTACTTTTATTTTGTTACTTCTTAAACTCCAGCTGGTGGACCATCTACACTATTAATAAAAATCATGTCTTCAAATCATACATCCCAATGATAATACTCTACTCAAAATACACTAGAAAGAAGAAATATAATTTTAAATTCTCCATAAATCTCTAACTGATCATTTGTCTGAAAGGAAGGATGGTAGCACCACATCTGCATGCTCTGGGTAAGTGTATATATCTGTGTTTTCACATAAATCTGTTCAGGTAAGCCCTTCTCTAATAATATTGAATAGAGGGCTTTTTGTTCTTTTGCTTGGTCCTATCAAATACCTGCTATTTTATATATATTTACACACACTACAGACACACACATTTCATATAATGTGTATGTAATTATATTAAATATATTTACACATATCTATAACTATATCTAGTTCTATAGTTTCAAAGTCCATTCTATAATCATTTAAGACACAAGAGCTTTGTTCTTTTAAAAGCTGTTAAAGCTTTCTGCACCCTTAACAACTGGAAAGGGTCTAAAGACCTGAAAATCAGAAAAACAGAAGCAGCTCTGTATAGAATAAATGTTACATTATGGGTCACAGCTGCTCAGCCTTTAGCTTACTCATAATATTAATACCATTGCTACACGTCTGGGCCAAAATCAAATGTTTACAGGATGTTATTAGTGGCCACATCTATGGCTTAGGAATATTCACCCAGTGGAAGTCAGAGCTGAGAGGTAAACAGTATTGCAGCAGTGATTTCATTTCCCTTAACAAGCAAGTTGTTCTCCAAGTGTGATTTTGATGTCCAGGACAAGGTGAGCTCTGACTGGCTGAAGTGTGGAGCATTTACAAGTTCTCTGATGTGCTAAGCTGTGAACCCACATAACAGTCTTCCTTCAGTTAGACCACTTGATGGGCATCTCGCCTTTACCTGAATGCCCATTTCCACTAAGTATTTATAGAATCAAGTTTTTCTGATTTTGGCCAAAGGTTTCAAATTCAGTAATTAGGGAGCAGGGGTGGGAGTCTCCTGCTGATAGTCAAAACCATACTTGTTTGGATTGCATTAGGCCTTTTTCTGGTGCAGGATCAAGCTAAAAATTGAATTCATATAAAGCTGTCTGGTGGCTGACAACACAGGAATACATCTGATCAGTCAAGACTCAGCTAGGGATATCTCAGGCAGACATTGGCATGGATGTCTTCAAACAAAAAAGAATCATCATTCCTTGTTTTGTTGTATATCTGTCTGAAGGCCTGTCCTGACTGACATGACCGTTACAACCCCATGACTCTGCTGTGGCCTGTTTGGGCTTTTAGGTAAATATATATTTATGTTGAGTGATCAGGTAGTTAATATAAAAGGGGCCATATGAGGAGCTCAGGTATCTTCAGGAATAAGAAACCAGTCTTTTACAGCTGCACAGGAAAGTTGCAGCTGTGTATGTTGCATACTGGCACCTACAGGACTATACAGCAGTACTCAGCGTTTATGTTCTTCACGGAGAGGGTGGCGAGGCACTGGAACAGCTGCCCAGGGAGGTTGTGGATGGCCCCTCCCTGGAAACATTCGAGGCCAGGCTGGACGGGCCTTTGTGCAACCTGCTTTAGCAGAGGGTCCCTTCCAACCCAAACTATTCTATGATTCTATGATTTTATGATCATGATAGGAGTCAACTGTCAATTTGGGGTCTTGTTTTATTAAATTTTATGAGTGCTGTTGGTTATGTCTATACTATAGACACCCAAAATGAGACTTTCTTTAGGGACAAGACAGAGAAATTGCTCTTTTGGACTGCAATTCACCTATTTGTCTCCAAAGACTACAAAGTGGGCTTAGAACAAGGTCCTAAATAGACGTCTGAGCAACTGTACTCAATGACAATCCCTGACACTTCAAAATAATGCTACGTGGCTGAAAAAGTTTTACTGGAATATCTAATTTGGATGTGAAACTTTGAGAAATCTTTTGTTATCATGATGGGATGTCAGATATTTCCATTTTGGAATATAATTTTCTCTACAATTTATAGGGAAAGGTTGGATTGCTGGCTGCCTATTCCTTCTGGTTTGGGGCTTTTTTTTTGTTTGTTTGTTTGTTTTTATCAGCTCCTCTTTTGCAACATTTTATGGTAAATTGGCTTTGACTCAGAGATGGTTAAAAAATGGTTTAGGCTTGTACTCATAAGGTTCTGAATTGTTTCAGCAATAATGAAAGGATTATAATAACCAGGACTTGAAAATATGTTCTTTACAATCTCTACCAACTTTTCTGCTCACACATTCAGCTGTGCATAAGGAGAATCTGACATGTGGTGTCTGAATGACGAACAAGCCACATGTGAATCATACAGCATTATCTTTTACTATCTCATCTGCAGTCACAGAACTTACAAACTGTGATTTACAATGTGTTACTGAATTCTTACTCACATGGCTTGAGCAAGAGCTTGATTAAAAACAAAAGAAAACTAAACTAAAAATCCAACAAAGAACAGCAAGAGGAGGTTTTCTTGCCATCTTAATTCAAATAAATCAGCACCAAACGTGGTACATGAGGGATCAGGAATCTCATGTGAATTAAATGGGCCTTTTGTATTCTGTTTTCCATATTTACAACACATGACACACACACTTCTCCTGACTGCTGTATTTCCAGCTAAATACTTTCTGTTCTTTTACTCCACTTTTTTGCTTCCAGATGGGCGCCATCAATTATTATTATTAATATGAATGAACATATTTTCATTGCTTTAGCAGATGTTAATGCTTTACAAAAGAAGTGTATGTGTTATTAGTATTGCTACTTTACAGGTACAAAAAGGGGAGAGACTTGACTAAGAGCAGATGGGAGGGGGGCAGTGTAGGGGAGACCACCAGACCTCTAACCCCTATCCCACACTCTTGGTGGAGTGATGCATATGCTTGATACTCCTGCCCCTGCAACTCATAACTTTAATGGATGTTAGGCAATCTTAGCAGTTACCTGGACCTATACTTTGCATTTACCAAGTACTTTTCTAGTTTTGTGGTTGTTTATTGAAATCTGGGCAATGACTGATAAAACTGAGGCATGTGCAGGGTGCAGAACGCATCTCTGCTATGTGGGGGTGGTTATATTTTAAAGCTACTTGTAGGGAATCAACCAAAATCATCTTGGAGCAACAGTGTCGTAAATC